CAATCAATATTGATAACTGTGGGATTTTGGATCGAACTCTAGTTGGTCGAAGTACATGCTGTAGTCGAAGAAGGGTCTAGCATGTATTTGTCGAAGGATTCTTGTCGAATTAGGTTTTAGTGTTTAAACCCTAATTTGTTAAGTTAGCTTGTTTGTTAAGTTAGCTTGTATAATGGGCCATGTGGAAAAAGCCCATTAGTTAGTATGTTAGGTTTTATTATAAATAGCATACTAGTCTCTCATCATTGCCATGACAGCAAATCCTAATATAGGGTGAGAGGGTTATTTGTTATTCTTGTAAACTTGTAATCTTGTTTCCTAAGAGAAAGTAAAAGAATAGCAGTTATAACCAATTATTGTGTTCTTCTTCTTCCTTGTTCGTTATTCATCCCTTATTCTATACTTTGTTATTGGCATTGAATTCACAACAAATTGGTGCGGTGAGCGTGGAGAAGATGCCTTCGACAAAATATGAGATTGAAAAGTTCACCGGAGTGAATGATTTCGGTCTATGGCGCTTGAAGATGAAAGCCCTACTGGTTCAGCAGGGTTGTTTGGAAGCGTTGAAGGGAGCGACGTCGATGGACGCTGCGTTAACAGAAAGAGAGAAGACGGCCATGATCGAGAAAGCACACAGCGCAATTTTGTTGAGCCTTGGTGATAAGGTTCTTCGACAGGTATCAAAGGAGACGACGGCATCAGGGTTATGGGTGAAACTTGAAAGTTTGTATATGACCAAATCTCTGGTAAATCGACTCTACCTGAAGCAAGCTTTGTATTCATTCAAGATGATTGAAGACAAAGTGTTGGCTGAGCAGTTGGATATGTTCAACAAGCTGATTCTTGATCTTGAAAATATTGATGTAAAGATTGATGATGAAGATCAAGCGCTGTTATTGTTGTGCGCTTTGCCCAGATCACATGCTCACTTCAAAGAAACCCTCTTGTATGGAAGAGAGTCCCTGACCTTTGAAGAAGTTCAATCAGCTTTGTACTCTAAAGACTTGAACGAACGTAAGGAGCATAAACCTTCGACGGTTGGTGAAGGTTTGGCTGTTAAAGGAAAATTCGACAAGAAGAAAGGTAAAAATCAGTCGAAGTCTTATAGTGGTGACACATCTGGTATTAGATGCTATCACTGTAAGAAAGTAGGTCACACAAGAAAGGTGTGCCCTGAACGCCTGAAAGATCATGGAGGAAAGGATAATGGCAATGCAGCTATTGTCCAAGATGATTTCGAATCATCTGATGTTCTTGTGGTTTCAAGCAACAACTCGTCGAAGGAGTGGATTATGGATTCTGGATGCACTTGGCACATGACTCCAAACAAAGACTTGTTCGAGGAATTATGTGATCAAGATGGTGGATCTGTATTGCTGGGAAACAACAAAGCTTGCAAGATTGCAGGCGTTGGATCTGTGAGATTCAAGCTCCATGATGAGTCAATAAGATTGTTGACTGAAGTCAGGTATGTACCTGATTTGAAGAGAAATTTGATTTCTCTTGGTGAATTCGACAAGAAAGGATATGTGTTTCAAGGAGAGAAAAGTATCCTGAGAGTCATGAAAGGGTCGAAGGAAGTCTTGAGAGGCGTGAAGAAACAAGGCTTGTATACCCTTGAGGCTGAAGTTGTAAGTGGTTCGACAAATATTGCATCCACGAAACCTTTGTCGAAGACAGAAATTTGGCACATGAGATTGGGCCATGTCAGTGAAAGGGGTCTGGTCGAATTAGGGAAACAAAATCTGCTTGGTGGAGATAAAGTCGAAAAGCTGAAGTTTTGTGAACCCTGTGTACTTGGAAAGTCCTGTAGAATGAAGTTCAACAAAGGCAAACAAAGAACACATGGATCCCTTGATTACATCCATGCTGATCTTTGGGGGCCTGCAAGGTGTCCATCACATTCAGGAGCAAAGTATTTTCTATCCATAGTAGATGACTATTCCAGAAAGTTATGGGTATTCATCCAGAAGACTAAGGATGAAACTTTTGAGAATTTCAAAAGTTGGAAGACTCTTGTCGAAAATCAAACTGGCAGAAAGGTAAAGAGGTTGAGAACCGACAATGGCCTTGAGTTTTGCAATGAGGCGTTCGACAGTTTTTGTGTTGCCTCTGGTATTGCAAGGCACAGAACTACCGCAGGTACTCCTCAACAAAATGGTTTGGCTGAAAGGTTTAATCGAACTATTTTGGAGAGAGTTAGATGCATGTTGACTAGTGCGGGATTAAAGAAGGTGTTTTGGGCTGAGGCTGTTTCGACAGCAGCATATCTGATAAACAGATGTCCTTCGACAGCGTTAGATATGAAGACACCTGAAGAAGTTTGGTCGGGACATCCACCAGATCTCGACAAACTAAGAGTATTTGGCTGTGTAGCCTATGCTCACATTAGGCAAGACAAGGTCGAACCTAGAGCTCTGAAATGCATGTTTATGGGATACCCTGAAGGAGTAAAAGCTTATAGGCTATGGTGCCTAGAGCCAGGTCACAGGAGGTGTATCACCAGTCGAGATGTAGTTTTCAATGAAACGGAAATGGCTTTCAAGAAAACTGATGATGTTGACGAAGAGCTGGAACAGGTAGAGATTCCTGTTGAGGTGGAGCATGTTGATGCTGAAATGCGTATCCCAGATGAAGTCGAAGAAGAAACAGAAGATTCTGATGATGTTGAGGAAACTGTTGATGACTACCTATTGTCGAGAGATAGGCAACGAAGAGTCATAAAACCACCTCAGAGACTTGGATATGCAGATCTTGTAGCTTATGCCTTAATCTCTGCAAGTGAAGTTCTAGACGAAGAACCTAGAGATTATAAGGAAGTTATGAGGAGTCGAATGAAGACTGAATGGCTAAAGGCCATGCATGATGAGATGAAATCTCTTCATGATAATCACACTTGGGAACTAATCAAGAAACCTGTTGGGGCAAGGTTAGTCAGCTGTAAGTGGATTTTCAAAGTTAAGGAAGGAATTGAAGGAGTAATGTCGAAGAGGTACAAGGCAAGATTAGTCGCAAGGGGTTTCACTCAGAAAGAAGGTGTCGACTTCAATGATGTATTTTCCCATGTTGTGAAGCACAGATCCATTCGAATGTTGCTTGCCATGGTGGCTCAGTTCGACCTTGAACTGGAACAAATGGATGTGAAGACTGCGTTCTTGTATGGTGACTTAGATGAAACAATCCTGATGAGGCAACCTGAAGGGTATGTCGAAAAGGGGAAAGAAGATTATGTGTGCAAACTGAAGAAATCTTTATATGGACTTAAACAATCTCCTCGACAGTGGAATAAGAGATTCGACAAGTTCATGGAACACATAGGTTTCATTAGAAGTCAGTTCGACCATTGTGTTTACTCCAGATTTCGACCTGAAAATTCATTTGTTATTTTGTTGCTTTATGTTGATGATATTCTGATAGCAAGCAACAATGTCGAAGATGTAATGAGGGTGAAGGCTGAACTCAATAAGGAGTTCGACATGAAGGATCTGGGAGCTGCATCTAGGATTCTTGGAATTGACATTCGAAGAGATAGAAAGCAGTCGAAATTATGCTTATCTCAAGAGGCATACCTACGAAAGATTCTTGACAAGTTTGGTATGTCGAACTCGAAGCCTGTTGTGACTCCAACAAACCCTCAATTCAAGCTGAGTATTGATCAATGTCCCAGTACTGATGTCGAAAGAACCTATATGAATAGCATCCCATATGCTAATATAGTTGGTTCTTTGATGTATGCTATGGTCTGTACTAGACCCGATATAGCATATGCAGTAAGTCTTGTAAGCAGGTACATGGCGAATCCTGGAAAGGCTCACTGGCAAGCGTTAAAGTGGATTTTAAGGTACATAAATGGGTCTCTGAACAGAGTCTTAATTTATGGTGGAGCCTTGGGTGAAGATAGTAAAGCAGCAGTCGAAGGCTATGTTGACTCCGATTATGCAGGTTGTATGGATTCCAGAAAATCTATTTCTGGATATGTTTTCACTATGTTTGGTACAGCAATTAGTTGGAAAGCAACTCTTCAGAAGGTTGTTGCCTTATCAACTACTGAAGCAGAATATATTGCCCTAACTGAAGCTGTGAAAGAAGCATTGTGGCTTGAAGGTTTTTCAAAGGAGCTGAAACTTCAAGGTCAAGGTATCACTGTTAAATGTGATAGTCAAAGTGCAATACACCTGTCGAAGAACTCAGCCTATCATGAGCGAACCAAGCACATAGATGTGAGGCTGCATTTCGTCAGAGGGGTAATCGAGCGTGGAGAAGTCCAAGTGCTGAAGGTCTCGACAGATCACAATGCTGCTGATATGATCACCAAAACATTGCCAAGTTGCAAGTTTTTCCACTGTATGCAGTTGATAAAGCTGCATGAAGAAAGCTAGTTAGTGTCTCTTGATGCTGTAGAGTTAGGTCCAAGGTGGAGATTTGTGGGATTTTGGATCGAACTCTAGTTGGTCGAAGTACATGCTGTAGTCGAAGAAGGGTCTAGCATGTATTTGTCGAAGGATTCTTGTCGAATTAGGTTTTAGTGTTTAAACCCTAATTTGTTAAGTTAGCTTGTTTGTTAAGTTAGCTTGTATAATGGGCCATGTGGAAAAAGCCCATTAGTTAGTATGTTAGGTTTTATTATAAATAGCATACTAGTCTCTCATCATTGCCATGACAGCAAATCCTAATATAGGGTGAGAGGGTTATTTGTTATTCTTGTAAACTTGTAATCTTGTTTCCTAAGAGAAAGTAAAAGAATAGCAGTTATAACCAATTATTGTGTTCTTCTTCTTCCTTGTTCGTTATTCATCCCTTATTCTATACTTTGTTATTGGCATTGAATTCACAACAATAACAATTCAGCACCTACAATTGATAACAAAATGAACATTGAAGCAAGACCTAAAATCACAGTACATTCTCATTAGATGAACAATTCAGCAACTACAATTGATAACAAAATGAACATTGAAGCAAGACCAAAAATCACAGTACATTCTCATTAGATGAATAATTCAGCAACTGCAATTGATAACAAAATACACATTTATCATAAATGACACAACATCTTCAATCTTCCATGAAAATTTTCAGTTTTCAATTTGGTCTTCAAGTTCTTGTTCTTCTTCCTTGATTCTTCATACAACGACTTCATATATCCCACAAATGCCATGACTTCCAACTCTGAGTTCCTAATGGTAACATCTTCATTTCCAGATTTTACACCAAGATCTTCATCCCATATGAATAGATTATACGTATCAGAACTATGCCAATAAGGACATCTCCAAAACAACTTACCCTTATTTGGTCCATTCTTGCAACAATATGATACCATCCGAACCTGACAACCACAAAACTTCCCAACTCGCGATTTCACAGAAGAAATAGACATTAGGCTTATGCAGCTAAAGGATGACAAAGATGAAAGAAGAAAGAAGGTGAACCACCAAACCAACTGAAGCAGAAAGAAGATGGAAGGCGAACCACCACACCAACTGAAGAAGAATGAATTTCACGAAGAAGATTATGAACGAAAAGGAAAGGAAATGAATTAGGTCAAAATGCATGTGACTCAACTTTATGAAGGTGTACACGCTGTATTCCACGAAAAAATATAAAACAAATTATTTAATCCACCTGTCTTGCCACATAAAAAGTCGTTAGTGGAACTTGACGTTGGGGACCAATTGTCCAGACGAAATTTTTTGAAGGGACCAATCTTTGAAGAAAAATATTTAAGGGACTAAAAATAAAATTTGAGATATTTACATGAACCTAAAACTTATTTAACCCTAAAATATATGACTGCGTAAAAAAAAGTTAAATTTTGAAAAAAGGCAATGTAATTTATTTTTGAGTCTGCTGTTAAAACAAATTGTATTTACTTATGGGAAATGTTTTACTTGTTAAAACCAATTCGAAGGACAGGAAAGAGAATTGGACTATAGGATCAACTTGTTACTTGTCATTTTTATCTTGTTTTAGATCTTCATCTGTTTTTTGTAAGTTAAAAAATTTAGTTAAAAGTTATTTCTCTTGTATCCAACATGTCCAAATATATAGGTGAGTTTGATTTGTATTGGTATACATAGGACATTGCATTCCTTGATTGGAATTATGCAGACATACTGGTATTAACCCTTTTAGAATATTTGTGGTCCATACTTCTCTATAAGACAAGGTTTATACATAAAATCTCCATGGTGGAGCCAAGAAATGAAAGAATAAAGATAGAGCCAAATCCCCAAAATGTCACCATAAAGAAAAGAAGGGAGAAAATAAACTAAAGCACAAAAATAGACTAAGTATATATTTGCATAAAATAGAGGAAGCAATAAAAGGAAAAGAAAATGGGTTGATTTTTAAATAGTGGTATAAGTAAAATGGTGGGAAATTGAGATGAGATAGCTTTCTTGGATCCTGTGAGAGACATTAAATTTAAATGTCACTTTTACACAGAAATATGGTGGCATTTAGCATATTGCCCATCATGGTTCTAATACTTTTTTTACCATTGATCTATTCAAATAAATATTGTGTGGTTAGGATTGAAGTAGGGTGACTTGAGTTATACAGATACTAGTATAATTAATATTTACAACTGGTCCTTCTCAAATATAAATAAACCTAGAAACTGGTTACTGTAGGTCAAAAGACTGATAGCATGGTGGACAAATTTAACATTTGCCCTGGTTAAATACCACCCACTAATAGTTACTACTATCAATTTGTAGCCAAAGATAAAGGAAAAACAAGGGAATGATGAAAAGGAGTGGCAAAAGAAAAGGTAAAAAGAATTCCAAGAAAAATAAAAGTATGAATGAAATAGGAATAGATCAGACAAAAGTATAATACGCATGTAAGAGAAAGTAAGAGATGGTAGAACTAGAGTTTTTCACATTCTCTCTTCCTCTCCCTCTCTCTCTCTCTACTCTATCATTCATATCCACCACCAAAAAGAACCACTTATGCAAATTATCATGATGAAACTCCCTCTGCACCCAGCACTCCAAAAAAGTGATTACCTTCCTCATCAAAACCTTCTTACCCTTAAATTTACCTCATTGAACACCTCCTTCTTCTCATTCACAATCCCCACCATTCCAAAACAATGAAACTTTTTCTTTTCTTTCTCATCACATTCTCTTTCTTTTTCCAAACACAGTTACCACTAGTTTCTTCTGCTACAACTCTTCCCTTTCAACTCATCACTCTCCTCTCAATAAAATCAGCCCTCATTGACCCTCTCAATCATCTCAGTGACTGGAAAATCAACCCTTCTAATTCTTCCTCTACTTTCTCAAACTCCAATAACTCCCAAAACCCAATTTGGTGTTTTTGGAGAGGCATCACTTGTCACCCAAAAACAGCACAAATCACTTCACTAGACCTCTCTCACCTCAATCTTTCAGGCACAATCTCACCTCAAATCCGCTACTTAACCACCTTAACCCACTTGAACATAAGTGGAAATGATTTCAATGGAACTTTTCAAACAGCAATTTTCCAACTCACTGAGCTTAGAACACTAGACATTAGCCATAACTCCTTCAACTCAACTTTCCCACCTGGAATATCAAAGTTAAGATTCTTAAGAATCTTCAATGCTTACAGCAACAACTTCACAGGCCCTCTTCCTGAAGAACTAATCAGGCTTCCATTTCTAGAACAACTTAACCTTGGTGGAAGCTATTTCAGTGGCAGAATCCCACCAAGCTATGGAACTTTCAAAAGACTCAAATTCCTATTATTTCATGGTAATGAATTGGAAGGTTCACTACCACCTGAATTAGGCTTATTATCAGAGCTACAACACTTGGAAATTGGATACAACCCATTCTCAGGAACAATACCAGTGGAATTAACAATGTTGTCTAATCTCAAATACTTAGACATCTCATTCACAAACATCTCAGGTCAAGTGATTCCTGGACTAGGAAACTTAACCATGCTTGAAAATTTGTTTCTCTTTGGAAATCGGTTAAGCGGAGAAATCCCATCAAGCATAGGCAAGTTGAAATCGCTAAAAGATCTTGATTTATCAGACAATGAACTCACAGGTTCAATTCCACCAGAAATAACAATGTTGAAGGAACTAACAAGGATGAATCTTATGATTAACAAGCTAAAAGGTGAAATTCCACAAGGAATTGGCGAGCTGCCAAATCTCAACAGGTTCTATGTTTTCAACAACTCGCTCAATGGTACACTGCCACCAAAACTCGGCTCCAACGGGCTACTACAATTACTAGATGTTTCCACAAACTCACTTCAAGGTCCAATCCCTATGAACATTTGCAAGGGAAACAATCTTGTTAAGTTCAATCTCTTTGACAACAAATTCACCAATATTCTTCCATTATCACTCACTAAATGCACCTCACTTGCTCGGGTTCGGATACAAAACAACAAACTCACAGGTTCAATTCCACAAACACTTACAATGCTTCCTAATTTGACATACCTTGATTTGAGCAACAACAATTTCTACGGGGAAATTCCTAAAGAATTAGGCAATCTCCAATACCTAAACATCACAGGAAACTCGTTTGAAAGCAATTTACCTAGCAACATTTGGAACGCAAGTAATCTACAGATTTTCTCAGCTTCGAGTTCAAAAATCACTGGTCAAATTCCCGAATTCGTTGGATGCGACTCGATTTACAAGATCGAATTGCAAGGGAATTTAATCAACGGTAGCATTCCTTGGAATATCGGTCACTGCGAGAAACTGATTATGTTGAACCTAAGTAGAAACAATCTCACCGGAATCATACCTTGGGAAATCTCAACTCTTCCTTCAATCACCGACGTTGATCTCTCACAAAACTCACTCACCGGAACAATACCTTCAAGCTTCAACAATTGCTCCACTCTCCAGAATTTCAACGTCAGCTTCAACTTCCTCACCGGTCCAATTCCTTCCTCAGGCATCTTCCAAAGTCTCCATCCTTCTTCCTACTATGGCAACAAAAACCTCTGCGGTGATCTTCTAGCCAAACCATGTGCCTCCGCCGGAGAAAACGAACTAGAGGTCTACCACCAGGAACCGAAGAAAACCGCGGGCGCAATCATTTGGATAATCGCGGCAGCGTTCGGGATCGGACTCTTCGTTATCGTCGCCGGAACACGTTGCTTCCACGCGAATTATAAGCGTGGTTTCAACGAGAGCAACGGCGAAATCGGACCGTGGAAGTTAACGGCGTTTCAGCGGTTAAATTTCACGGCGGATGATGTACTCGAGTGCGTTTCAATGTCAGATAAGATATTAGGAATGGGGTCCACAGGAACGGTTTATAAAGCGGAAATGCCAGGTGGAGAAATCATAGCCGTTAAAAAGCTTTGGGGAAAACAAAAGGAAAATAACAGTAATCTAATCCGACGGAGGAGAGGCGTTTTAGCTGAAGTGGATGTATTAGGAACCGTGAGACACAGGAATATTGTGAGATTGTTAGGCTGTTGCAGCAATCAGGAAATTACCATGTTGCTCTACGAGTACATGCCAAATGGTAACCTTGATGATTTGTTACATGGAGAGAATAAAGGGGACAATATGGTAATTTCGGATTGGTTAACTAGGTATAAGATAGCATTGGGTGTGGCTCAGGGGATATGTTATCTACACCATGATTGTGATCCTGTGATTGTGCATAGAGATCTTAAACCTAGTAACATTTTATTGGACGGTGAGATGGAAGCTAGAGTGGCTGATTTTGGTGTTGCTAAGTTGATTCAAGCTGATGAATCTATGTCTGTTATTGCTGGATCATATGGTTACATTGCTCCAGGTCAGCACCGTATTCTTATTCTATACTTTTATTTTTATTTTCATATTTATCAAGGAAACTATTTCATGTTTATTATATCCAGAACCGTGTTTGTAAATTAGAGTCATATTTGACTGAGACATATTTTATGACATGGTTAAGTTTGAATTGAAGAATAGTGTGAAATGATATCACTAATTAAGAGGGAGGAGGCAATGGGGATTTTAAATTTTGGGACCAATTTAATTTCATTGCATGGTTAAGTGTACTATTGCGCATGGACCTTTATTTTTCACTTTCACAAATTGCTTTTAAGTCCATTGGCCCCATTAAGAATATTGTCAATTATCACAACTACTTTGAATCATTAGGATATTGACTTTGAATTTGGTTAATCCATTAAAGTGAAATAAGTGGAATGATTTTTAATGCTAGTGTATGTGTTTTGTTTGGTCTTATTATAGTACTAAACTAATTATTAATTGTAGATGATGATAATATTAAAGTATATTGTTTGATTTTTGTAGAGTATGCTTATACACTCCAAGTTGATGAGAAGAGTGATATATACAGTTATGGAGTGGTGTTGATGGAAATTTTAAGTGGAAAACGTTCTGTGGATCAAGAATTTGGTGATGGGAATAGTATTGTGGATTGGGTTAAGTCGAAAGTAAAGACGAAAGATGGAGTTGAAGGTATATTGGACAAGAATGCAGGGCCAGGGTGTGGTTCAGTGAAAGAAGAAATGATACAGATGCTTAGAATTGCATTGCTTTGTACAAGTAGAAATCCAGCTGATAGGCCTTCAATGAGAGATGTTGTGTTGATGCTTCAAGCTGCTAAACCTAAGAGGAAATTGCTTGGTGGAGGTGGTGATGTTGCTTTGATTCAAAAGCCAGTTACCAATGAAAGCTAGGTTAATTAATGTGTGTATAAGATTCAAAATGGTTTTCTTTTTTGAAACTGTGTTATTGTGGGGGATTGGTATAGGAGACAAAGTGATTTTCTGTTTTTATTTTCAATGGAATGTCAAGTATTATTTGTCCTAGTTTGAGATGACTCTTGTTTGTTAATGTTTACATATTAAGAAGTGTGTGGGGGCGAAAAAACAAACTATGCTTTTTGTCTATATTATATTTGTTTAGTATGTGCATTTAGGTTCTGATTTTGGCAATTTCTAGTCTTTTATACATACTTCTCCCGTTGATTTTATACGCTAGTTTATATATTTTTTAAGGTTAAATGCATTTTAGTTCTTTATAATAGCACTTTACGTGATTTTTTTAGTTTTTTTAAAATTTTTTTAAAAATTTCACGTGGAAATTCGATTTTTTTTTTATATTTTTTTATATTTTTTTTATTTTTTATAATTTTTTTTAAATTTTTTTAAATTTTTTTTATTTCATATTAATTTGATACATTAATTTTGTGTGGTACTTAATTTTTCTGATAGATACTTAATTTTGTTTTTTTAGACGATCAAAAATACGAATCTAATAGTATACACGATCGAAACATAATATATACGTGAGTAGAAAATATGAATCTAATAAATTAATAGTTAAAATACATTATATTTTATTCAGGTTTTTTTCTTCTGAAAATAAGTAATATATAAAGGGAGTATTAGGGATACTCAACCTCACTTACAACAACAAAATTCTAAACTAAATGCACTTTATTTAAAACACGCAATTGAGTCTTTATATATAAGCTACTATATTTATCTATCTCCAATAACTAATAATTCATAATATCTATGAGAACTTAATAATAATGTCCAAGTAATAACAACTTAAACTAAATATTTTAGAGACTAATTAATTTTACAGTATCACCCAATTAGAATTAAATTCTTTTAGTAACTATTTCTTTCATATTTTTCTCTTTTTATATGTCAAAATAATTAACTTTAATTGGATAACAGCATAAAATAGTTTTAAATTGACAGTGTATTTTAATTAATCTTAATATTTTATTACATAATGTATGCATCACAATTTTTTTCTGACAAAGTAATTTATGATTTTCAGCGGATTGTTTTTTATATTGACCTTAATGTTTTTTTTTAGTGTTCATTATGTCAAGCGTTTGTTTAAAGTTGTATTATCGATGATTCAACTCGATCAAGTTGTATTCTATCCAACCATCAGTACCTATGAAATGTTCTCGATACTCGATCTTTGTCACCCTCCTGTTGTCGGAATCAGAGAGCAAATCATTCAATATTTGACGGCAAAATCTCGACCGTCTAAAAAAACAAAATTAAATACCTACCAGAAAAATTAAGTACCACACAAAATTAATGTATCAAATTAATATGGGATAAATAAAACAAAACAATAAACTTGTCAAAGTGGGAGAAAATAAAAATATTTTTTTTAAAAAAAGATTTAAAAATAAAATAAAAACAAAAATTAAAAATTAAAAAATAGTCGAATTTCTACGTGGAATTTAAAAAAAAATTTAAAAAATAAATAAATAAAATCACGTCAAGCGCCACGTATGCAGATTCAGCTGGAATCTTGACCCAATGTCAAATTTGAGGGAATCTTGTTTTGTTGAGGGGCTAAATTTTTTTTTTAAAGGAGGATAAATCAAAACTCGCTACTATTGTAGGGGGTAAAATGCATTAAACCCTATTTTTTTATTATTTTTGGTTGAGTTTAAATTTGTCAATGTCCTCTTCATCTGTGCATTTCTTTCTATCAATTTAGTGTAAAGATTATTTGTATCAGTTACCTTTTGTATGTACTACTTCTGATAAAAAATCAACTTGCTATATATTTATTTTTAAAGTCCTTAATAACGGTGACTCGAAGGCAGGGGTAGCCGCGGAAGGTGTCATCGCCACCAGAAAAATCAAAGACTTATGAGGTACAAGATGACAAAACTAATCAGAAGGAAGAATCTAATGAAGATATGAGCAAAGCAAATGAATAAAACTAATTGAAGAATGTTGAAGAGGGTGAGAATGTTTACCTATGTTTGACATCGAAGGGCGTAAAGACGAAAGAAGATATGACGAACAATGAAGATTCAGACACAAAGAAGAAGTTGTGGGTGGATTTAATCATTGGTAATCAGGTCCAAGCTAATGGTATGACCATAGAATTTGTTGCTCTGAAAATAGTGAAATGTGAGGTTGAAATTGAAATTGAAGACAAGGACGTCGAATTTGAGGTAAAATTCTAGACATCTTCACTGATTATGTATGTTTTAGGAGGCGAATTAAGCATGAATGCAGTTAATCAATACATGTTGAAATTCTAAGATTTTGTTAAAAAGCCTGAAATGTTCTATAGCGAGAAAGGATATTTCATAATGAAATTTAGGTCGTTTAAGGATAAAGATAGTGCAATGATAAAAGACCCATATACCATTCATAACATGCCTATGCTCTTAAGTGAATGTCAACTTGATTTCTATTTGAAAATAGATAGAACCATTCTTGTTTGGGTGAAACTTCCTTAGCTACCTTTGTATTTGTGGAGAGCAAGAAGCTTGAGCAAAATTGGAAGTGCACTTGGGAAGCCTCTATTCACTGATGAATGTACAACCAACAAACTTAAAGTGTCATATGCTAGAATTTTGTTTGGAGATAGACATAACTCAAATGTTGAGCGAAACTATAACTATCAAAGACAATGAGGGCAGAATCCAACAACTGGTTGAATTTGAATGAAATTCACTTTATTGTGAAATTTTCCAGAAATTAGGTCACAAATGTCAGAATCGTGTTGGGCAACAAAAGAAAGCAGTTAAGGTGTGGAAATCCAAAAGAGAACAACAGGGAAATCTAAAAGAGGTAGAAGTGACCATAAGTAATAGAATAACCATTAATCTAACAAATAATGACAAAGATAATTGGACAATGCTAAGGAAAAGTAGGAATGATAAAGGGAAAATTTTGATGGAAGATGACACTGAGAAGCCTGCTACTGTAAATGTTCATTGTCATAATGGGTTCGTGCCACTAAGGATTTTGAGTGATCCGTTAATGACACTGAATAAGGTATCGTGATCATCTCATGGAATGTTAGGGGGATTAATAAAAAAGGTAAAAATAAAGAGATCAACTCTCGTCTCAATAGCATCGAACTTGATATTGATGTTCTAGTGGAAACCAGAGTTAAACAATCTAAAGCTATCTCTATTAGGAATAAATTGGGTAAGAAGTGGTCATACTTGGACAACTATTCTAAGCATGAGAAAGGAAGAATTTGGGAGATGTGGGATGTAATAAAAGTGGAGGTCAAACATGTGTCTAGTATAGATCAAATGATTCACTATGGTATACATGATATTGGTGGAAAGTTCAAACATTGTCTCACTGCCATTTATGCTCTCAATCAGCTTCATCGAAAAAGAATCTTATGGAATAGTATTGAAAAGCTTCACAAGCAGATACATGGGCCTTGTTCTGTTATTGGTGACTTCAACAATGTAAGGGAAACTCAAGATAGAATTGGAAGGAATGATGTACAAAAATCAAAGTATGTGGACATGGAAACCATGAAGGACAATATTGTCCTATTTGACATGGAAAGTAAAAGGGACCACTTCACATGGTCTAATAGGCATGATAGTGGAGCTACCTATTCTATAATAGACAGGTTGTTATATTGAGTGGTTTCATTAACAAAAGGACACTAGCTTGCAAATAATGGAAGATGGGATGTCTGACCATGCCTTACTTTGTTTCAAAGTAAGTGAGAAGCAACAAGTAAAGAGATAAAAATTGAAATGAGACATTGTTGTTACTGAGATGGAAGGATTCTTAGAAGTTGTTTCAAGGAATTGGAGTTTACCATTTATAGGGAAACAATGTACCTCATTTGGAAGAAGTTGCATAGATTGCAACCTATCATTAGAGAAAAGAGAAAACCCAATTCTAACATTAAACTCAGAGTCAGATTGGAGAATGTAAGGGTATCACTAAAAGAGGTTCAAAAAGAGTTGTTGGCTGAGAGAATGGCTATTAAAAAATTGAAAAAATGAAGGTTTACACTGAAAAGGCCATTACGTGGAACACTATAGAAGAACAAATCCTTATGCAAAAAGATAAAATAGACTGGCTTAGAAATGGGGTGGGAATATTGCTTATTTCCATGCCTCCCTAAAAAGAAAAAATAGACAAGCGGGAATCCATGTACTCCATAAAGCTGATGGCATAATATTGAGTATACAAAATGAGATTGAAACACAAGAAGTTTAAGCAATTTTTTTACATAAGAAGTTTGTCCAATATAAGTTATTGGACACGAGATGACAAAACTAATAAGAAGGAAGAACTAATAAAGATCTGGACAAAGTAACTTGTAATACGGTAGGAGAACTGACTTTTTGTTTTTTACGTTTTATCGCAAATGTTGCGGTTAGCAAGAGTCGCCACTGACTTTTCTTTCATCCAACAAAGGAAAGGGTGAAAAGAACAGGAAATACCTTTCGAGAATTTTTCTGAGTAAGGGGGGTAGGTTATGGAAAGGGAAGGTGTTATCACCCTTTCAATTTGTAGTTACCTACAGGCTCTTAGTTGCTAGCTCACTTTAAAAATTCTTTTTTGTGTAAGTGTATTTGAAAATATTTTTGAAAAGAAGCCTTAGTGCGGAGAACTTTGTAATGATTCTCGTATCGTCGAGAATGCATACAAAGTTTTGTTTGTATTTGAAAATATTTAGAAAGGAGAGTGTGTGTGAGAAATTTGTTTTGTTTTATGAGCAATAAACTACGAGCTATCTACCTACTCAAAAGATCTTTGTTCTTTTCCTCTTTTCCTTTAGATTGTGCTATCATACCATTAGTTAGTAGGTATCCCTATCATTGGATGTTTTAAGGGACAGACGAGGGCCATCGTACAATCACGAAGGAAACTTGTAAGACACTTTAGCAATTACCCTAAGGTATTAAGATCAT